GTTGCCGTTATTTAAGGCAAACATTGGCGGTGTCAGCATCACCCCAACCATCTGTGTCAGCTTCAACATCAACGCCACCAGCACCATCATCAACGGCACCACCTCCAGAATCACCATTAGCATCATTATCACCAACACTAGTGGCATTAGAGTCATTGCAATCAGAACAAGAATCGCAATTGATATCAGCTTCAGCATCAACCCAATCAACACCGCAACCATCAGTGACAAAATCAACATCATCATTGTCATTGACACCACCAGCATCACCAATCCAGTCAACACAATCTTCAACTGTAAGATTACCTTCCTCGTCAATGGTATCATCAGGTTTAATTAAACAAACTGTATCTACGAGAACAAAACCAACGACTATGACAGTGTCTACGTCGTCGACGTCGCAACCACCTACTACACCGTCAAAAGGTAAGATAAAGTAAGTAAAATAAGTAAATAAAGGCTCGAAACGTCAGCTTTTATAACCGTAACGGTGGCCAATTCACCATTTCAACTTTGTTGATATATTCAAATTATAATGAATAAGTACTTTTGAACTGTGGAATACCATCCATGCTTCATGTTTGCAGCACGATATTCATACTCTAGATGTGCGGTATAACATTTATATTTCAGATCTATAGTATATGATCAACACTTCAGGCCTTATTTTTTCAAAGACCTGGCAACGCTATCCCACGCATAAATCGCTACCCAGCAGATAAATGTTGGCAAACCGTACTGCGCAGTCCATCGGATAGAGATATATCCAGTGGATAGCGTTATCCACCCTTTTAACAATCGGCGCCTGATGTGATGTATAATATCCCTGCTTCAGATCTGTGGTATAACATCCATGCTTTAGATCTGTGGTATAACATCTTTGATTCGGATCTGTGGGCCTTTAATGCTATCCATTGTTTTAGTAGATACTAACATCCGGGACTCTAGGGTGACTCCTATTCATATCACACATGACCTCTGTACATGGTTGCTAAGGGGTGATCATGTCAATAGTAAGGTATCGCTAGTTAACTGACACTTTATCTAAAACGTTCTTGAAATTACTCAGTTCAGGCATTACTGATGAGATTTACGTCTTTTATTTGTTCTATGACCTCAATAGAGGGCTCCAAAAAATACGAAGGAAGTGGCAAAGTGGAGGAACCTTGGGAAAGCCAATATGGAAATAACAAATCTAATAAGTACAGAGAACTTAAGGGCAAGCTGGAAAAACATTTAAGAGGAATTCTCGAAGAGAAATACAAACAAAATTTACTTTATATTGAGGTGAAAAACTTCCGGAAGGGAAGTATAATTTTCGACTTCACAGTTTTCCTTACGTCTACGACGGATGTTGACGCCAACAGTCTGAAGGAGGCAATAGAGAAAGGTGAAGGAGGCTCAAAAAACTTCACTATATCCGTCGAAAGTGTAAAGCAGGTAGCTGGCCCCACACGATCTACCCCAACTAAACCATCTGCAGTGTCTAAAGGTAAGGTCATGAAAAAAGGAAGCCGTCCATACTTCATACTTGCCAGATTATATTCTTTCTTTGCGGTGTAACATCCACATTTCAGATCTGGGGTGCAACATTTATACTTCAGATCTGTGGCACATCATTTATTAGTACTTCAGATCTTTTGCACAAAATCTTTAAAACAGATCCGTGGCATAACATCCACGCTTCAGTTCTGTGGTATAACATCTATTCTTCGTATCTGTGATATAGCATCTTTATTTCAGATCTGAAATACGAAATCTATACTTCAGAACTGTGGTGTATCATCTATACTTAAGATCTGTGGTATAACTTCTATACATCAGATCTGTGGGTCCATCCATACGTTAGGTTTGTGGTATGACATCTATACTTCAGATCTTTCGTATAACATCTATATTTCAGATCTGAGGTAAAACATCCATACTTCAGATCTGTGGTATAACATCCATTCTTCAGATCTCTGGTATATCATCTATACTTCAGATCTGTGGCATAACATCTATACTTCACATCTGTGGTGTAACATCCATACCTAAGATCAGTGGTGTAACATCTACGCTTCAGATCTGTGGTATATCATCTATACTTCAGATTTTTGGTATAACATCTTCTCTTCAGGACTGTGGTATAACATCTATACTTCAGATCTGTGGTATAACATCTACACTTTTGATCTGTGGTATAACATTTATTCTTCAGATCTGGGGTATAACATTTATTCTTCAGATCAGTAGTAAAACGTCTACACTTCAGATCTTTGGTATATCATCTATTCTTCAGATCTGTGGTTTTAACATCTTCACTTCAGACCTGTGGTATAACATCTACACTTCAGATCTGTGGTTTAACGTCTATACTTCAGACCCCGGTTGTTCGAAGGATGGATAACGCTATCCACTGGATAAATCTCTATCCAGTGGATAGCGCAGTACGTTTTGGTAACACTTATCCGTTGGATAGCGATTTATCCGTTGGATAGCGTTATCCACCCTTTGAACAACCGGAGCCTGATCTGTAGTACAACACCTACACTTCAGATCTTTGGTATAACAACCACACTTCAGATCTGTGATATGTCGTCTATTTTTTTCAGATCTGTGGTTTAACATCCAAGAATATTCAAAATCCGGCAAAACCACACACCCTATTAGTTTATTTAAAGGGCCATGCTCAACCAGCGTGCTTTGCGCGCCGTTGTTATTGTTATTGTCCGGCAACTCGATACTTTTTCCCCACAAACCCACAATACGGAAAAGAGTATTGCAACGGTAGTAGCGTTTGTCACTATTTTTATGGCAAAAATAGAAAAAGGATGTTATTGCCCAGAGTACAACCAAACTGCAACTTCGAGAGGGTATAGAACAGAACCAAAGACAAAATAGAAGGATCTGTAAGTGGGCAAACAGCAACTGAACATTTTACCATAATACGACCACTGCTCCCCGCTCAAATATCAGGTACAGAAATTACATTCTTGGACACAAAAGTGTACGGAAGCAAGAGGTTTAACAGAGAATGGACCCTAGATCAACGCATTACATAGAGAAGGAGACCATCGAATACTTGATTTTTTTGTCGTTTCATTCACCAGGCACAAAAAAAAGATTCGTACGAGGCCAAGCGATACATGAATAAATTCGTCACACTGCACGTTTAATAAAAACATGCAGTTTCAAAATTCGCTTAAATAATAGAGATTAAATGTATCTCTGAATTTGATTTCGCCGTGAGAGAAAAGTCAGTCAAAAACTTACACGGGATTAGGCTAGCGGTCGATTGTAAATGTTTCCCCATCTGACGGTCACCCAAGTGCTAAGAGGAGTTTTCTGTTTGACTGTGTAGACCTGTGTAGCAGGGCCTCAGCGAACTCGCGTCTCGTTTTCTTGCCAAATCCCAAGACTGTGTTTCGCTCATTCCATGCTTTTAAAATCGACTTAGTAAGCCATATAATATGGCAGCTTTCCATCCCTGCAGACGAACTCTTTTTGATGGCTTCATTATCGCAAACGCAGAATGAAACGACAAAAATACTTAGCAAATAGACGACAGACACTAAAGAAACTAGCGGCATACATTGAGACACAGCACTTTTACAAACTTTGACATAATTTGACACAGACAAAGTTTTGGAACCAAACTCCAATATTGATTCGCGTTTGAGTTATTAAGTGACTTGAAATGACAAATATTGACATTGAATCATAACAAAATGTGATTTATTAATTTATAATTTAATCAGAAATCAAGTGAAAAAAAATTCTTTCTACTTACATCGAAAAATGAATATGAAGACAAATTGTCTTCGCTGACACTTCTACACCGAACATATANCTAAGGCCTGGCCAAATGCACACAACATTTCAACGCAAACTCTTGTAACATTATCGCGTGCAACGTATTGCACACGTCTGGCCATCCCGTAGTAATATGTTGCAATACGCTGGATCAAGTTTGAAAATGGTCAAATTTTTATTGCAACGTTTTTGGATATTGCAAGGTGTTGCGTACGTTTGGCCTGCACCTTCATAACTTCTAAAAACATGATCTAACATTATTGCAAGATGCTGCGTTGAAATGTTGTGTGCGTTTGACCGGGCCTTAACACCGCAACATTGGGCGCCGAAGAAAAAAGGGACAGAACAGAGCAAGACACTTTCAAACTTATGCTGTTTTGCCACGGTAATGGCTGTTGACCGCCATTAACAACTGAATGGATTCTTACATTGCAACACTGGGTGGCTGAGAAAATGGGAGAGAAAAGAATAAGAGAAATGAACTTCTTCTTTGTATATATTTTTCAGTTTTGTTTTCTACAGCATCTGTAAAATTTAGTTAATTAACTTTTATACATTAAATAATTTTTTCCTCTACTTTTGTGTCTGTTGTTATGAGAACTTATGACCAGCCAAATTGAAGATGGAATCTACTCTTTTTGGTAAATCCTTCATCTGTAATATGCGACTTTGCTCCTACTGTGTCTAAAGGGATGCTAATTCATAGCTGATTCTGTCACTTTAAAATCTTTTAAAATAACTGAATTTACTTTTCATTTGAGCTCCAAAAGTTCCATCGCGATTTGGATAGAATGGAACGAGTTAGGAAACATTTAAAAACTTATTACAGACTTCTGCTGGAACGTATTGAACAGTTTCGTTCTGCCACGAATTGTGTGTGAATTGTGAACTTTGTACTTTTCGGAATGCCTGCGCTCATTTTTGCATTACCATACAGAGCGATCTCTTCGATCCATCATGGAAAGAAAAAAGATTTCCAAACATATAACTTTAAACGGGTGGCGAAGCTTTCCATGACTCTGCATCTCACCCAACAAATACAAGCCTTACAGGGTTAACCAATTGCAGCGTTCATTCTGACGCTAGTGATAGCAAAGTCGCGTATTAGATTTCAATCGAAACCCCCCCTCCCTGGCATCTTTCTGTCAAAACAATTCAGCTTCTCAAAACCACTCCATATCATTAAATATCATTTTGTACTTCCTTGTGGTCTCTCAGCGTTAGTGCACAATTTAAAAACTCATAATTTATATTTGTTTTATGCTTGCGCTTACAACACTTGCCACACACACACACACACACACACACACACACACCTCCTCTCCTCTATTAAGTCCACTATTTTTGTGGAGATTTGGGAACACTTTCATCAGTGACTCCATACTTTAACACCCGTAACACCACAAAGCATTCGATCCCAGAATTTTCTGCATGAGCCAGTCAAAGCTTGACAAAGCTTAAAATCCTTTCCTTTACAGCTTAAAATAGTTTTTTAGATAAGTTTGCAGAAAATATTCCACGAGTAAACCATTTTTCCCTGGAAAACACTGCAAGTAGCAGAGAATAAAGAAATCCTCAGAATAAGACATGAGTAGATATGCCTACTTGTAATTCACCTTCCTTCGGAAGGTGAATTACATGTAGCCATGTGCCATCAAGCAAATATTTCGGCGTTTTCCTCCAGGTTTAAAGATAAGAATCGACCGATGACTAAAGTTTTGTTCACGTAACTTCTAAAACTATTTCCTCTGCATTGCATTTTAATTGTCGTGAGATATCAAAAATTCTGTAGCCCAGCAGTGTTTCGATCCCGAACACATAACATTAACATTTGCAAGACAATCAACTCATTTGGAAATGATAGATCGTCAAAAAGTAAAAATTAACAACTACGTCCAGAATAATTTGTTGGCTATAATTCTCCCCAGAGTACTGGTCTGCTAATCAAAAGTACTGAGGGGGGAGCATCATCACTGTGCAAGATATTTTGGGCATTCAGAACATGATCAATTTATTCAGATAATGTATCATAAAATGAAAAAAATTTAACACCATTTGATCTAGCCAGAACTAATAAAAAGTAGAAAGAAAATTTACCAAAAAAGGGAGAAAAAAAAAATAACGCGAAACGGGGAGGGGGAGAGGTTGGAAAATTTTGGGGATCACATTGTTTTCATGTCTTTTTCACTAACCTCGCCGCTCTGTGTTTCCACAAGGAACACAAGTGTCGTGTAAGGAGCATGTATATGTAAGTCTTTAAGAACTTTGCAATTGTCGCTTTTGAAATTTGAATATTGGGGCTTGTAATTGAAGTTTGTGATTTAAAAATCGCCCTTTAAACTCATTTGGACCAAGAATATTTCCCTCTCGGTTGGCGTTGAAATCTTCGCCGTCTTTAATTGGGGATACAATTGATGACGTTGGCGCCGTCATTGTTGGAGATGGTGACATTGATGCTTTTATGCGTGATACATCGCTTTAATTTTGAACGCCTTGTAAAAAAAAAAGGGGGTAAAACTGAAAGAGAAAATGTTTGCCCGAGTCAAGGCGACTTTCTGCGTTGCATTAACTTAAATAAGACAGTTCGAATTTGCGCAAGGCATTGGTTAGAACACTTGTTGGTCCAGGAGCATAAAGAGCGGAAGAGTGCAAGTATTGTGCCTTAACTAGACTGTGGAAATTAGTTGTCCTAAAGGTTGATCTAGCCCTCATGTTACGTTTCCTGATCAGTGTGTTATGCCCGGCTGTCTAGCTTTGAACTTGGATTACCTTTGCCGAATGAAAATTTTACTGTAAATGGTTTGAACCATGGGGGTAACATGTGATAGAGCAGTCTGATCGTCCGGGTGAGTGTAGTCCTGAGAAGAACTTTTGTCAGTAGCAGTGACAGACGGTCGGTCGTAGCCTAACGATATTCCTTTAGGCAGGCGTTTTGTTAAGCAGGGGAAAAACGTTTGAAGCTTAATTGGCAATCGTTCAGTGGGTGGCAATGCTGGAGATTTATAGTTAGGATGCGAGGCATTCTACGCGTAAGTAGAGCGTTACACGAAAGCCAAAACGCACACTTCGCTTGGTACCTCGCCACAA